GACTTCTTTGATTTGCTTGCTTTGGTTGTTACTGTTGTAAACTCTTCTTGCAAACGAAAAGATATGCTACGAGAAAGTCACAAAGAGAGAATTCAAGAAGAAATTGGAAATAACGAAATTGAGACTGGTAAGGGGTTAGACCAAGAGATTTCCCTTGTCCGAGCTGGAGATATACGATGGAATTCTCATCTTAAAACAATTATGAGTTTGATTGCTTTGTTTCCAGAGGTTATACAGGTGCTTGAATATGTCGAAGATGATGGTGATAATGGAGCTAGTCGGCTTCAAGCAAGAGGTCTTTTATCATACTTAAAGWCATCTGAATTTGTGTTTTATATGCACTTGATATCAACGATCTTAGGATTAACAAATTCATTGTCTCAAGCTCTTCAAAGGAAAGATGAAGACATCTTGGAAGCTATTGATTTGATAGGAACAACCAAAGGTCAATTACAAATGTTGATGGAAAATGGGTTTGATCAAGTTTTGGAGAAATGCTACTCTTTTTGTGATAAACATAAGATTGTGAAGTTGGATATGGCTGAAGCTTATGTTAATACAAGAAATTCAAGGAAAAAGATGAACATTACCAATCAACATTATTATAACTATGATATATTCAACACTGTTTTGGATATGCAGATCCGAGAGTTTGGTGATCGTTTTCGTGAGATAAGCACCGACTTGCTTCAAAATATGGCGGCTTTGAATCCACGCAATTCGTTTTCTCAGTTTAACAAATCAAGCCTATTGAAGTTGAGTCAGATGTATCCCCGAGATTTTGAAGACAAGGAAAGGATCATTCTTGAGCATGAACTTGATATGTACTATCATTCTGTTTATAATGATGTCAGATTTGCCAACTTAAATGGTATTGCCGACCTCGCCAGATTAATGGTGGCAACAAGAAAGCATCTTTCTCATCCTTTAGTCTACCGGTTATTGAAACTGACACTGGTTTTGCCTGTTGCAACTGCTACGGTTGAAAGATAATTTTCGACGATGAAGCTTGTCAAGACAGATTTACGTAATCGAATTGGTGATATTTTTTGAATTCTGCCCTCATTTGCGCCATTGAAAAGGAAGCCCTTAGTAATGTTAAAAATGAAGATGTCATTGATCGTTTCTAAAAGATGAAGACACGCCGATGACAAATTTAGGAGTTGTTTCTCAACATACTTTTTGTAATTATTTTTGGGTATATATTGAACGTTTTCAAAAGATGAAAACGCGTCGGGTACAAGTTTAGGAGTTGTTTATCGGTACCATAAAAACCATATGTAATTATTTTTAAATGTATATTATATTATATTAATTATATGGTGCCACCGTATGGAAAATTTTCTAGGTCCATCCCTGCTTACTGGGTAAGTAGTTGAGTAAACTGCCCCTTAAATGATAGTTTATTAAGAAAAATCAACTTCAACATTGATCAAATAGTCATTTTTCCTACTATACTTATTTCAAACGGGCGCATAACTATATATAATACAAAATCCAGTCTTATTCTTTTGTCCATATGCAGAAGAATATAAGTTACAATCTTCATTTTTAAGATACCTTTTACTTCTAAACCCTATACATTCTCCATACTAGTCACAAAGAGCCTCAACTCCAGACTCAAGTACGTACACCGGACATGACCGGCCCCTAGCCGAACCTTATTACCACCCTGCACTAGTTTTGGTTCCCTTATTTTCACCATACAACCGGAACAGGCTAAAAGCTGATATGCCCGAGACCATCACCATGCCCAACCAAGCAATCACCGAGCTTGCTATTCCTTCTCCACCTTGGTTGCAGAATTTCCCATACATATCGCAGACCTTCATCCACTGCAGCTCCGGTTCTGAAAATTTCGCAAAGATCGCTGATTGTAACGCAGCCCCGAGTCCCGCTAACATCACGTAAGCCATAAGCTGCGATACCCGAGATCACAAAATCAATGGATATACTCCCATGCCAATATATATATATATATATATATATATATATATTTCAATTAAGATAGGTAAAAAGCCTAACAACATAAGAATAACTAATTCATTTAAAAATTTATATAGGAACCCATATTTTTACCAATTATTTATATATGAAAATGCATATATGAATCCATATTAATTGATATATATATATATATATATATATATATATATATTAACAAAGGTGAAAAGAGTAAGGACGTAAGAATAACCGATTAATTTCAGTAATCATATATGAATCCACATTAAATTTCTACCCTTGTTTACCGATTATTGAGAAGAAGATGTGTGTATATATATATATATATATATATATATATAATAATACAAGTGAGGGAATTATTTTGATTTTGATTTGAAAAATGGCATCTTTGCTGATATGATGACCGAACGACCGACCACATGTCAGACGAACAGCTCGAAATAAATTGGATGGTAAATGACCACAATTAATACAGAAGAGAGGTAGATATCCAATCTATCAGAATTCACCTCCTCCACTTATGTATTTCACATGAAAACAATCAATACACAACAGTGGTAGGTGGCGGTGGCCTGCATAGGTTACAATACAAGGAACAACTTACACTGCACAACGTACAACCCTACAAATACACCACATGCCATGAAGATGCACATGCATGAAACGGACTCGAACCATATATACCTGATCACCGGAAAGAATTAGCCAAGCCAACGACTTGTTCAAGAGCACACTTCCCCTAATCATACTCACTCCACATCTTAACGTTTGCACCAGTGAATAAGATGCAGCTATCCCATTCACTATCACCAAAAACCTACATATAAATCAAACCCATATCTTTAATTTCAACTTTTGATCAAGCAAGACAATCATCACAGCAACCAAACTAGGTTTACAAGAACCCAACAATCTCTAAGTGTCCTAATACACCACTTTTACACATTATAGAACCAAACAAATCAAATGAATTGATTGGACATTTGTTACTATTAAATATTTAACTATTTTATAAGTTTAGATGTCGTATAAAACCAATTTTGTTGTATAATTAAACATCGTCGTTCAAGACAAATGTGGAGCAAAGTTATGCAAAAACAATTACAACTTTTCTATGTAAAAAAATGGACTTACACAAGAGCTTTCATGTCTGTAAATTTGGCTTTTTTCTGGATGGTAAAGATCTCTTGGACCTGTGAATCAGTAGCAACAAGAACAACTGCAACAAGAGCAAGAACACAGACAACTGCCCTTAGTATCAACTCAGCAAGCCTTACCCTCCGATCAACCACCTTCAAATCGGTGCAATGATAGACTGGAACATTCCCAGGACTTACACCAACACCCAAGTAACTCATATTTACTCAACCACTTGTGATTGTAGTATGTGCTTAGCTCACCACAAGCTTATTTTGGAGGAGGTGGTGGTGGTGGAGAAGAGGAGGAGGAGGAGGATAAATGTCACAGCCACAAAAGGGAATGTGGAAAGGATACACCTCAATATCCCATCATTTAAGTAGCCAGCCTAATACCTTTTTTAACATTTTCCTTTACTTTTTTATTTTATTTTATTGGTGATTCTATTTATGGATTGAATTAATACCATGGGCTCAAAAACTCGACCAACCCGATGAACCCAATTCAACCTAACGTGAAATAACTCAACTCGAAGCAACCCAATGTCTAATCAAGTTATAAAATTTTCAAATCGTATGTATTGGGTTACTATTATTTTAACTCAATCCAACCCGATGAACCCTATATTCTTTTATTTCTTGGATTTAATATGATTGTTGAATTTTTATTAATATATGCATTAGACAATCACAGTATCACGTACGCTCTTCATATACACATATTTTCAATCTATTCACATCTCTATATAACTCATTCGTATATATATTCTGTATTTTAAACATATATACGTAAATTGAAAAAATTAATTGAATGTGATATACGTAAGAAGTATGGATAAGTTGTATCAAATAGTTGATGATGAAAAATAAATTATGAGTAGAGAAATAACATATTCAATGTTAGAAAAATATTTTAATATACCAAAGTATCAACCCGACCAACCCGACTAACCTGACCAACCCGTATGGTTTGGGTTGGGTTGGATTGTACTTTCAATTGGGTTGAGTTGGGTTGGGTTAAGATTTTTCAAACCGCAAACATTGAGTTGAGTTGATCAAATGTCTTCAACCCGATCAACCCAAACATGAGCACCCCTAATTAAAAGTATCAAAAATATATACAACAAAATATGAAGTTGACGTGTAAGTGTAAAACATAAATATTTTTGTATGCACGATCCAACAATAAAACACAAAAAAGATAAAGGTTTTCAAACTTGACTTCCATTTTATATATTAATATTATAATAAAAAATTCATAGTTATATATATACGAGAAGATTAATAGCACTCCTATCTCTTATTAATGACACCTTTATTTCCTATATAAACATTTATTTTTTGTATTCT